GACTTTTCACTTTTCACTAACGCGTTGTATACACAGACATGTACAAAATCAGTTGCAAGCTTTCTTTTAACAAAATATATTTATTATTAAACAAACTAGAGCGTCTTTTGTTATTAGGTATATTTGACTAAAAAATATTGAGGCAAATTACATTAAAACCTATTTAGTTATAGTACAAAAAATAGTATCGTAACATTTTTATTAATAAAAATTTACCAAATATAAAAATGCTAATGGCTATTTATTATTCCACGTGCGGTATCGCCAAATTACTTACGATCACGAACGTGGTTTATAAAATCTATTTCGCTAAAACCGAAGTGCGATATGCTACGTTGGATATGAAAATGCACCGTATACAACGCCGTTATCTGCTTTCTAATCAAGTGAACACATTGTACGTACTATCGTCGACACATATTTTTATAATTAATTTAATTAATTAAAAAAAAAGTACAGGCCATGTTTCCATAGCAGCGCTCTGCAACAAAATTAGAAAAACATCTTTTATTTCCTAGAGATCTTACAGCATTAAGTCAAGATAAAGAGAGCTGAGTCTTTCTTTTTTCAAAGAGTAAACTACTTTTAGAGCACAGCAGACCTCTCGCAAAAAGCAAAAATGTTGCTAGGATATTCTAATATAAAGTTGTATTTGTATGCACGCCACTGGGAATTCTTAGCGATGTTATATGTCTCGAGAATATTGAGAGCTTTAAATTTGTACAACAATAAGGCAGTATTCTACAGAGACCATTAAAAAATGTGGGAAACCGTCTCAATAAAAAACTGCTAGATATTTATTAAAACAAAAACAAGCATATTTTTATAGATTTAAAACAGAATGACGCGTTAAATATGTTTTTTTTTTAATTCATTTTAAAAAATATCAAAATAAATACTTTTCAAGGTTTCTACATCCTTAGTTTTGTTATTATTGGTATTTACTAAAAATTATACAAAAATCGGACTAAAAATAAAGGCTCAAAAGGAATTAGAAATTTTCAAGGTGTTTGGTTTGCTCTTAAGAAAAAAATAACTGACTTAGATTGTTACATGCTATTTCAATGAAGTTTTTAAATTGGAAAATAAGAACTTTAAAGTAAGGGAAAGGAGTTTAGTTAAAAACAAAATTCTTTCGCTCAAAAAGTAACCCTTGTAGAATTCATAGAAGAGCAGCCGGAAATGGTAAAAACACACCTTCAATTCAACATACAACTGCAAATATCCGGCAAAAACTATGTCTGAAATTGAATGGTATTCCAAGACTGGCGAATGGCATTTAATGTACAAAATAAGTAAAACCACCTGTTCGGGCGTGTAAACTATTCGATAAAGAATATATAAAAGACCTGTTTGCATTAGGTGCTATTATAAAATTATATTTTTATTTAGACCTGGCATGACCTCCAGAATAAGTGCAAATAAGAAAAAATTAAAATAGAAAGAAAAGGAACATGACAGAAGGGGGACCAAACACTGCTGATGTCATTGACGAAATGGATGACAAAGTCTTAGATTTAGTACATATGTTTTATACAATATTTTTTACTGTAGGCTAACAATATAATATGAAGGAGTTAGGGACTAAGCTGAAGAAAATAATTGTTCTATAAATTTAAAACATTATTATACATAATAAAGGTGGTGTATTGAATTGATACAAATTAAAAATGATAAATACACTTTTCATTTGCTATTGAAAGTGTAATGTATTTACCGAATGGGCCTTGCATATCAGCCGAATTATTACCCCTTCTTCCACTACCCATTTCGAATACACAGCTATATGCAAACGACCCGATGACCAGTGCCAATTAACCTACTTAATCGCAAGGTCTCGCGTCGCACAGCACCTAAATGTATGGTTAAGTTTTTTTATGCCGACGTTAAATAAATGCGCATTTAGTATAAAATAGTTTTATTTCGGCACCCATTTATTGATAAGGGTAGACATTACAGAAAGCTTGACAAGTTAACCACAATGAAAAACTTAAATTTTAAATATGTATACTGACAAACACAAATTACTTACCAGAGTGTCTTATTTTATTTTAAAGATGCGACATTGTAATTGATGATCCAGTAAATATTCCTAATTCGGGATAGCCAATTAATGAAAATTTACCAGAAACTACTGAAGACCACATATACTACATTATGGACGAGGAAAATAAGATGGGTAACGTAGAAAATGACTGCTAGAAGAAGAAAGAACTACCAGCTACTCCATTTAAATGAAAGGACAACAAGTCTAATATAAGAATAAGACCACCACTAAACTTGATAACAAATATATCTCACTTTGTATCCTCATATCGATCAATGAAACAAACCAATGCTAAGGCAACAACTGATTTGGTAAAGGTCACATAACAAACCAATATTTTTATGAACTATTACATTAAGAAGCTACAAATAATGCAAGATAGTTTGGAAGTTCATTTTTCCAAAATATAATAATATTGATATGATCACGATTTTCTAACCAGACATAACCTCTTGAGGCCTGAATATTTTTTTTTTGGTAATGTTTGTTTTTTTGACTTTGTTTACTTTTGTATCACTGCCGCTTACAGTAAAAAATTTAAAAAAAATTCAGTGAAAACTATGAATTTTTTCAATGTCGTATGTATAACATCTGGTCTCTGTTACCAGTACAAATGCTATAAGTAGATGAGTTTTGGTCTGTGTTACCCAAATTTTTTATAGTAGATAGTATATAGTGCGAACAATAAAAATTGCTAATCTCTTAGGATGTTTTATATTTTAAAACTAAAAATGAATACATTGAACATTACATAAACTATAATTAAAGTCAATAAAAATTTATAAAAAATCAAAAATACTAATTTCTGGTATGAAATTGAAGAAAACAATTTCGTTTTTGTGTGCTGCATAAAAATATCTTGCATTTGACACAAAGTGCTGTCGTAGTATGTTTACAGTTGAGGTTCCTTTATCTGTTTTGTTTATCAGCATAATCGACCATATGTTTAGCTTTATGATAACGTAAAACTTCGGCAGGTATTAATTGAATTTCACCCTTCGCTTATTGTGTTTGGGTTCCATCTTCATAGTCACTGCAGCTCTTATGGGGTTATTACACGAAGGAAATATTTGCTCTGTTTGCTAGTCAATTTATTTGCTGAAATTATTGTTAGAGCAAATGAGTTTGCTGACTACATTACATTGCAGCAAATATTTGCTACAAAATATGTTTGCCAAACACTGAAAAATAGGAAGCAAAGCATCTTTGCTCATTTTATAGCAAACATATTTGCTGTGTCATTACACGGTGACAAATATTTGGCTCAAAAAATTTCATAGCAAATACGATGTCGCTTTAGTAGGAAAGTAGAAACGAAAGTGTTCTGTGCTTTCTTAGTGTCGCCTAAAATAGTTGTAAATATTTAGTTGTTTGGGTGCGAGAATGGGTGAAACGTCGCAATAAGCTAGGTTGCTATGCGCAACTTCTACGAGAGCTAGTGAATGAGGTGCCACAGCTGTACAAAAACTTTCTTCGCATGAATATTGCTGACTTCAATAACCTTTTGGAGATGGTGTCTCCGTTGATTAAAAAAGAGGATACAAACATGCGGGAATCTATTTCTCCTGGCGAACGTCTAGCTCTCACATTGCGTTTTCTCGCCACATGGGACAGTTTTATGTCTCTACAATACCTTTTTCGCATTCCTCAATCAACGATTTCAAAAATTATTCCTGAAGTGTGCGACGCAATTTACAAAGTTTTGCTGTCTGATTACTTCAAGGTAATTTCTTCTATATTCTTCAATCACTTCAATAATTTCATATTATATTTTAGTTTCCATCAAATGAGGAGAATTGGCTCGAACTGGCTCGTGACTTCGATAATAGGTGGAATTTTCCCCACTGCATAGGTGCTGTCGATGGAAAACACATTGTAATGAGAGCCCAAGCACATGAAGGAAGTGTTTTTTATAATTATAAAGGTATGAAAACATTATTCTACACATAGCATTGTGCTGATGGGGATTGCGGATGCAAAATATAGATTCACGTATATTGATGTTGGTGTGAACGGCAGAATTTCAGATGGTGGTGTATTCAAAAAAACGTCGTTTTTCAAATCACTCACTGATGGTAAACTGCTGCTACCAGCACCTATTCCATTGCCTGGACGAGATGAACCAATTCCTTATTTACTGGTGGCTGATGATGCATTTGCATTGAGTATTAATCTAATGAAGCCATATGCACTACGAAATTTGAGTGGAATACAACGAATTTTTAATTATCGCTTGTCTCGTACAAGACGCATAGTAGAAAATGCATTTGGAATTTTAGCAAGTCGTTTTCGTGTATTTGGAAAACCGATTCATCTTGATCCAAACAAGACACGATCAATAACCGTTGCATGCTGTGCTCTTCACAACTACCTCATTACTCGAAGCAATATCTATTTCAATCCTACGTTGGTTGATCGCTATGATGATCAAGGAAATGTTGTGAATTGTGATTGGCGTAGAGAAGTCAACATTGAAAATAATTTTTACCCAATACAAGTGCAAAGAACTTTCATCTCCAAAAGGGGAAACCAAATACGTGATGAACTGTCGCAATATTTCATTCATGAAGGAGAAGTTAGCTTTCAGTATAGTCGTATTTGAATAAAATGATAATTTTTTAAATGCTTATTAGTTTATTATAATAAAGAAAAATGTCTACAAAAATATTTCGAAACATCTATTATTTAAAAAAATGCCAACGTTAATTTCATTACTGATTTGGTTGTTGCTGAAGTGTAGTTAACATGGTTGTGTTCTCATCGAGAACAAATATTTGTGAGGTCACATTTGCAATTAACTGATTTTCGGCTTCAATGCTGTCCATTAAACAACGTGCCACTTTAAATCGAACTCGCTGTGCAGAATTCGGGTTAGGAAGATAACGAAGCTCAGTCGCTACGTATTTCCCGAATGCATCAAATTCATCTTCTGCACTCTTTTGCCGGTGCTGTTTCAACCCTTCATCCCTTCTGCGACAATAGTTGCTGATGATGTGGAAGATGCAATTATCGAAGACGATTGCGACATTCGTCTACGTTTCGTACATTTTGGGGTCGAGCTTCTGTCAATCTTAGAGTCAGTCAATATTTCATCCTCTGTCGCCTAAAAAATAAATCAATTAAAACAGTATACACAAAGAATGCATGTACATGTACCAAATTTGAGATGGTGTCAGTAGTTTGCTCTTCTTCAGCACGGCCAATAAAGTTCATTACTTGGTAGAATTTCCATTTTACTTCTTCTTGTGCGCCTTGGCAGAATTTGGTTTTTCGAGACTTAGCGAAATAACTTCGATACTGAATTCTGATGTTGGACCATTTCGCGATGAGATCGGCGTCGGTAAACTTAGAATTGAAGTCGACCTCTGACATATGTTGCCATGCCGCGACTCGCTCCACTTTGTTGCAATATTTCCTATCCTTTGCATACCATAGCATTGGCACTGATTCCACGCATGTAATTAATTTAAAAACGTCGTCGTCTGTCCATTCCATACTCACTTTAGGTTTAACTTGTCGTTTTTTTGAATGTGTGTTTTTTTTTCTTTTCGATAACAGGGACCCAATTCGATTGTGATTGTGAATTATCATCAAAGGTTTTATCAACTTCTTCATCGTTGGAATCGAAATTGTCCAGTAAACTTTCGTCTGTCATTTTTCGTGCTTAAAAACAAAAATATAAATAGTAATCTTCCAACATTTCAACAACTTATGCTGCAATAAGGTTTAAAATCCCGTGCGAACCTAACCTACAATTCTTTTAATCAAACAACCTTGTTCAATTAAAATAATATTAGGTTATGTTGGCACAAGATTTTGAACCTTATTGCAGCACAAATGTGACTAGCAAATACGTTAAATTGACGTATGGGAATTAAAACTAAAACAATTTTAATTAAACTTAATAATTTTTACCTGAAAAATCCTCCAATCGCTATACAAACAGAACTACGTTGATCTTCGTCGAATTTCTCAACACAACTGATCACGTGGCCACGTCTAAAAATATTGCATATTTGTTCATACCGAGTTTCGGTATGAGCAAAGAAGATGATCGATCAAATATTTGCTCCGTGGTGGAGCCAATAGCCAAAAAACTGCATTACACGAAGAAAGTATTTGCCATAATTTTTATTTGGCAAACACAATATCAAATATTTTTCAGCAAATATTTGATCATCACACGTATAAGCAAATATTTGGCTTACTATTTGCTGCATTTTAGGCAAATATTTGCTTCGTGTAATAACCCCTTTAGAATCAGAAGAAACCGTGTTTTCTATAATCAATTTTTCTCCCAATGCTAATTTCAAACACCTCAATTGAGGAATGTTCTTGGCTGGTATATATTTTTTCATTTGGATGTCTTTGTAATGAAACCATGAATTGCAAACTGCCAACTCAATCATGTGTCTAATAAAACGAACTGTCCACTTTCTGGTGCGTGCTCGACAAGGACAGACTTTCAACATTCTGTCAAGCAAGGTCTACGCCGCCCACATATAGATTATAATTTTTAATAACTTTTGGTCTACTCACTAGTTCGTATTCCTTTTTGCTCTTAGACTATCTCCTGCATTGATCTGGATTGTTGGCCGCATTAACTGTCGAAAGAATTGTAACAGGCCCCGTACCTTTATTTTACTTGTACCTCTTTGGTGTTTCATAAAATGATTTTCCAGCAAAAATATACAGTTGTTGCAAATTCTGTTTCATAATAGTACCTGTTGCGTGAAAGCTTCTTTTAAGTAACAAATCAGCGAGTTTTACCGTTGTAAAATAACGATCAAAATAAAGGTGATGGCCGGGCACAAGAGTCTCACATAAACTGATGATTGTAGCTTCACCCAAGGTTAATCTTTGTTCTTGAATATCTGCAGAGAACGATGAATCGCCTTGATATACTACCATATCGCATACTACCCCATTAGGATTGGCAAGCACACAAATCTTAATACCTACGGGATTTGGTTTACCTGGGCAATATTGACGAATGTCACAATGACCAGTAAAAGGTATTATCATTTCATCAATACTTGACAGCCCCGTAATATACTTTCAAATATAGGCGCAACCTTCCATATTTTGTTTGCCTTTTCTGCCTCAGTGACTTCGGGGTCATAAACGACTTTTAGATTGGATCTTATCATAATAAATCGAGTTCGTGTCGTAGCATTTCTGATAATTGGAACTTCATACGTTTTCGACCAAAACATTATAATTTTCAGTAGTCCTATAGTGCTCATAATAAAGAGAATACCAATAAATGTTTTTAACTCCTTAATTGTCAATCTGAGCGGTAAGCCTTTCCTTTCCACGTACGTTCTATTTGTTGCTACTACCATGATTTCCAGCATTTCATTATCGATGTATTGCTTAAAAAATTCTTCTGGTGTCCATTTCTGACAGTCCTGCTTATATCTTGGTTGGTGAAGATGCTTCTCTGTGGGCATGAAATTACCTTTCCATTCGTTATTTACTGCCGGTGCTGGAGCACTAGAAGTACGCCTTATTCTTCGACGTCCACAGTTATTTCTGGTAGGTCCACTTGGGCGTTGTATAAGCGATGATGATAGTAATAACTCAAATTCTGAACCATTCTTTTCAGTGTGTTCTAAGGTGTTTGTGTCTGACGAACTTTCAGAGTCATCAATGTGGTCACTTCGTAAATTTGGAGGTTCATATTGATTATGATCTTCATCGGAGAGACTAATATCCTACTCGTAAAGAGCTTTTTCAAGTTCCTTTTCACTTAGTGCTGCAACAAATGAAACCTTTATTTTATGTTGTCAAGTCAAAAATATTACTAATTTTTTTTACAGTTGTAGAGAACGCATGTTATACCCGTATGGCATAAAAAGAAAGGATTACTAACTGTAATTTTAGGGATTTACTTTAGAATTTTACAAGGGTATGAATATAATGAAGCAACTTTTACTATCTCAGACTCAGTTTATGGTTCTACATTTTTTATATCAACAGGATTCCACGGACTACATGTTTTAATCGGAACTACATTTTTATTGATTTGCACAATTCGACATTAAGGTCCCATGTAATAGCAGTATAACAATAAACTATCATGATCGATAAACACTGTATATTGTCATCGATTACAAAAAATAACTATCGATTCATATAAAGTGTTAATCAAACCACATTATTATTATAATAACGTAAATAAATAACATATGATGTTCTTAATAATGTCAGGTTACTTACAGCAAATTCGGGAACGGTCGGCCATGTTACCACACCATTTGTCATATACACTAGACACCATAGATAAATTAATATTGAAAGAAAAACCGTTTAAATGCACGGCACTGGTAATAATTGGTTAGTTCCGGCCATACTAGGTTTGTTTCTGCAGTGAGTTTGAAACCAGTTTGATATTTGTTCACAATGCGCATGAGCGGTCGAAGACAGTCATCAAACAGTTAGAAATTCTTCACTGCACGAACACGAAAATTTTGATAAACAAACCAATTTTAAACTAACCTAACAAAATCTTGTTTTTTTTCTCGATAACCTAACATCCTAACACCTAACCTATAAAACTATAACTATCCTTCCTAAAGTATAAACGTTGTACAACGGTATACACATTGTGTGTTGTCTCTAATTTCATTTAATTGTTAACAAAAAAAAAGACATCTGAAATAAAAATATGGAAGGTAAATCATGTTTATTAAATTTCATTCATAAGCTTTTTTGTATGTAAATATATTTTTAGGCATGAATGAATTTATAATATTTAATTCAACTAATTCAAGAACACTGGCTGAGGATGAGTTAGTGCAAAATGGAATAATTCAGTTCTCAGAGTCTCTACCCTCTTCATCAAAAAGTGTGAATACACCAACTATTGCTATTTTGACACATAACTGAACATTAAAATTAATAGATTTATTCAAACTTTACAGGAAGAAAGTTGGAACTGTAGAGTTACGCACTTTAAAAAAAATGTGGAAGGCAATTTGCAGTGATATAAATAGTATTTTTAAAAGTAATTTTTTGCCCTCTCATTGTGAGAACAAATGGAGGGTAATTGAAAGAAACTATAAGAAATACATAGACTCCACAAAACAAACTGGTGGAGGTAGAAAAGTCTTCGAGTACTTCAAAGAAATGGATAAAATCTTTGGAAAAAAAGCAACATACGTCCAGAACTTCTGCTATCTTCGAATACCATTTCACACCAAGATTAAGAGAACAATCTGCCGCCAACTGAAAGCAGCGAAACACCTGCTGCCGAAAATGCCAAACATAAAATTGAACCAATAACATCTCCAAGACATCCAAAAAGAAGAACTATAATTCAAGAAAAAAAAATAAGTATTGGAAGTAATCAGGACGGATAAAAAGGAATATTACGGGAAAATGTTAGACCTAGAAAAAGAAAAATTGGAATTTAAAAAAGAAAAATTGCGAAAGAAAATGGAAATTGAAATTCAAAAACTTGAAGCCAAAGAAAAAGAAACAAGTGCCTATAAAGATAGAAATGATATTATGAAAATATTTTTAGAAAAAAACATTAAGGTCAATTTTGAAACTGATGAAGACATTTTATAATGTTGAATTGATTTTTATTTATTTTGTTTGTCATTTAGAATATATTTTTATTTTGTTTTATTAAGCATTTGGGATTCTTATTTCAATTTAAAAGTTGATTTTTTTGAGTATTTTATGAATTAAGGGAAATGTGCCTAATATCGCCCCCTTTTTGAAAAATGTCATTTTTGGATTTTTTCAAATCAGAAATCGGTTTTGCTTCTTTGTGAGGTTTACTTGTAGAGTGTCTTAATCGACTAATTAACAACTTTAAGTATTAATTGATAAAATTAGGTCTTTTAAGGAATCTGAAATTATGTCCCTTTTTTCAGAGTAGATAAAAAAGTGATCCTAATATCGCCCAAGTGTGCGGTATTAGGACCACTTGTTGAAACATTCCCTAGAACAAATTAAAACAATTTCAAAATCAAGTTTCGAACATTTATTTATAAACAACTTGACAGAAACGAAAATATCTTATTCAGAGGTTATCAGCCTTCACGGCAAAAGTCACAAATAAAAGTTTTGTAGTTGTCTGACCCGGAGCATTGCTCATGGCACCAAATTCTACATTTGATGCACACTATCCATTTTTCTCCAGATTTATCATTCAGATATGATTCGTTACAAAAGGGACATTCACAGTCGTTTTCACTATCCTCTTCGTCTGTAGAAACCGTTAGGTCTTCGGGTATTTCATCATCACTGGACTCTGATGAAGATTCGATTGGTCTCTTTTTCGAAAATGCCTTCGTTTTCTTTGGGACTGTTTCTTGTGATTTACTTCTCCCTTTTCTATCGTCTTCTTCGCCCATGAAACACTTTTTTGTGACTTTTTTAAGACCAGATTTATTTTGAACTGCTGTTGTGGTGCTCTTAGAACTATTGATTCTTTCCAGTTCTTTCGACAAATTATCCTTATAAGGAGAATTTGTTATTAAAGCAGCATTCATAGATTTTCTGCCTCTTGTACGCATCTGAGTTGGTTTTTTGATAGAAAGCATTGGGCTGATATCAAGAGGCATTATCCGGGAACTGCCAGGTTTAGTAATGGTAGTGCTGCATCCAGGTTTTGGGTCATGAGGCATTATCCGGGAACTGCCAAAATCACCTGTAGTAGCGCTGCATCCAGGTTTTGGATCGTCAGGAGTGTTTGGTACGACTTGTTGTTTTTCATCCCCTTGTTGCTCATTATCTTGTTGCAAATTTTCTGGATCCACAGGTTCATTTTCCATGTCGGCTACAAATTCTTGAGGCTCAAAAATGTGACGGTTACAAGGAAACAAGCCACTTTTCCTGAAACCATTTGAAGCTGTTGCTACGGTTGCTGCTCTATTATAAGCCTCACCCAATAGCCTGCCTACCTGATAGTGAGTAACTACTCGACCACTATTCTGCTTTAGCCAAGTTTCTATTGCTTGAGCATAGTAGGCCTTTAAGGAAAACATAAAGGAGCGATCAAGAGGCTGCATTTTGTGGGTGCAGTGTGGCGGTAAAGATACTATATGCACACCATTATTGCGAGCAATTTCCAGAAGTTGAAGATTCCTTGTGTGTGAAAAATGTCCGTCTAGAACCAAAATAACAGGATCATCTTTGGTAGGCTTGACGTTTGCTAAAAATTGTTGCTGAAACCATTTCAAGAAGCTGTCCATCTGAATCCATCCTGACTTGTGACAGGCCGCAATAGTGCCTTTTGGTGCTCCATCGAGTAGTTCAGCCTTCATGTTTACCCTAGGAAAGACTAACAGTGGGGGAATATAATGTCCGGCTGCACTCATACAGGTC